TTTAGTCGCACAGGCCTACACGCCAGATGTGTAGGAGGGTGTCCCTGTCAAAATACACACAACAGACCATTTATCTTGCACATAGAGTGGAAAGAAAGTCTGCAGAATGATCTGTCAGTGAAAACATATCAGCACATGGTGGAGTCTTTGGCAGTTCAAAAACCCTTGATTCAATGGAGTTCATCCCTGGTCTGTGAGGAATACTTTGTCGCATGTTGCGGACTGTATTGCAGTATTAAACCATTTTGCGGGTCTATATAGTATATGTAAATAGGAATCCAGGATTTTTTAATCTTGACCCTTGCGGTGGGGCTACTGCTTGTTGCAAGTGTTAACTGCTCGTTTTTGTTTAGGGTTGCAAATAAAAGAAATATACTTGCCTGATCCTCAATCCCGCCTAGCTGCTAGACTGCTCCCTGCAGCCTCTTCTCCCCTAGGCTCCAGCAGTCTTAGGACCCATGGCATCATCATGTCTAACAGCTCAATTAGACTTGAAGACGCCGAGGGACATACCACAGCCAGAGCAGAGGAGGAGAGAGGTCAGTGGTCACTCCCACAGGACAGAGGATCAGGTGAGTATATCTTCTTCCGTTCCCTAGATCAAAGGAACATGTGGAAAATGTAACAAAAGTGGTAAGAACCCTGTGTATAGTGGGAAAAAGCCATTAGTGCTTATCGACTTGAAAACACTATCCTCACTCTAAAGCATGGTGGTGATAGCATCATGTTGTTGGGATAATTTTCATTGGCAGTGGTTAACAAAATGGTCAGGATTGTGGTCAAGATAAATGGGTTAAAGGAAAACTTGCTTTAATATGCAGTAAACTGGTGATCTTGGCATTCAATGCTCTTGTTGCTGAGCTTGTATGTGAACAATATATACACACATGTATATGTAAACATTACTAAAGCCTCTTTAATGTGAACCAAATTGTAATCTGAAAGGAAGAGTAAACCTAAAAGCAAAGCTGTATTAGAAAACATTACTCACATGTCCTAAAGTAAGCTGCCCGATAATCATATATAGGTCACAACCTCTGAATTGTTTTTAATTATTGAGACGTATCTTCACTATATGTATACATGTTGGTTGCATTTACAGTGTGCTTCCACAGAGTTGTGTTAGTTGTGAATGACATGCTTTGGACCACACAAGTAGGTCGAGGGGCATCTGAAAGAAAGCACATCAATGAACTGTAAACACAGTGAGTTCTGCTAGCGTGCAGATATATTTAAAATAAATGTATTTTTAGATGGGTTTAGAATTCACTGAGAGCTGTAAAAACAAGCCAGTATTAGTGTACAGACCCTTATAATAAGGTTGTTTTTTTACTATATAGTAGCAGTTCTAGGTATTTTCTGTAGATACTGAAACAAGTGTATGTAAAGCCATAGCTTTATTTTTTTGTTTTGGTGGGGAAGGGTTAGACCTTCTGTCAAGTTTTTGTTGCATTCTGTGTCCCTACTGGCGAGATTTCCCTGGTGATCTTTTTGCCTGGTAACCATTGTCACCTAAACAGAAAGTGAGAGGAAATCCAAAATCCAGAAGAAGAGGTGAGGTGAAGGGTAAATTCACACCAGATGCGTTGCATCTAGTACTTTTTTTCAGCACACATCACCGTATCACCGTGTTACACTGCAACGCAGTGGGGTGAATGGTGTCCATCTGTGAAAAGGCTAATTGGCTTGTCTTGCATTGGGGCTGTGTTGGAAAAAATGGCCAGCGCAGCCCCAACACAAGAAACAGGAAACTTGCCTTGTCACGGATGGACACAGTTCACACCACTACAATGCAGGGGAATGCGGTGGTGTGCACTGAAAAAAGTACTTTTTTTTTCAGCGCAGCGGGATGAGATGCAGTACAACCTCCTCGCACCGCACCGTGCCATAGCACTTAGGGCTTGTTCACACCAATTCCAGTGAGTTCCAGCATGGATAGTTGCTGGAAGGCACTGGATCGCATAATTACAGCCTCCCTGCGTTCTGGGGCAGGAGAGGGCGTGGATGTTCCATTGACTTGAATGCATCACCGCGCCCCCCTCCTGCCCACGAAACGCAGGGAGGCTGTAATTATGCGATGCAGTGTGTTCCAGCAACTCACTGTGCTGCGACGTACTGGAATTGGTGTAAACAAGCCCTGAATAAAATGTCACTTGTAAAAAAAAAAAGAAAAGTACACAGTGCGATGAGCGAGAATTGCAATGTAGTGCAGCGGCTAATGTGAAAGGGCCCTAAGTCTTCCAAAGGGAACACTTCTGGTTACAACTGTATTTGGGGAGATTTCCTTTCACTTCCTGTTGCTTCAGGAAGTGCAGGGAATTCTCCCCAGTGGGCATAGGTGGCAAAACATAACCTGATAAGGTTTTCAGCACTCCCCTACTCGATCCAGAACTAAACAAGATCTTTATCCTGTTATCGCTTGGAAAGTACTGATGTCCTGGGGCAGCCAGGTATCTGGCATTTTTAAGTAGTCTGGCAATGTCAGCCTCCATATGTTCGCAGCACAAGTTTTAATAAAAAAGACCAGCCAATAAGTTTATTTTCCAAATATCTTTAATATACCGGTCGGTATGTTACATTGTAACCTTTGTAGCTGAGACCAATCCATTGTAAAGCTACCAACAGTTTTAGGTGGCCTGCAGTGTCTACTGGATAGGAGGTCAGGAGGAATATATGTCCTTCATGATTGTAGCTTTGTGTATTAGGACTTTTAGCCCCCCAGTAGTTTGTTTGTCGTGTGTTCCTGGATTAGTGCTTTGTCACTTATCTCAAAGAGTATATGTCCATCTGCAACTGTGATTGCGAGGTGAAGAAGTGACATCACCCCCAAATGGGGAATCTCTTATTTCATCTTTTACTGAGTGATGTTTTTATTCTTTTTTTCCAGGGTCAAAAGGGTGATCCTGGCATCTCTCCAGGAAAAGCTCTAAATGGATTAAAGGTATCCTCATCAGCCTGTGTCTTTTCCTTTCCTTATGGGAAATTATGTCATGATCTCTCAGAGCCAACCTAAGGAAACCACTGCCACATTCTTACAAAACAGTAACAATATTACTGTTAACAGAAATATTATGAAACCGAAGAAATTAACTCCTTCTGCAGACTCTTTGTTTGGCAATTTTTTTCTACATACTTTGCTCTCCAGAGTCTTACCACATTATCACTTCACTTTGACAGCTGTTTATGATGCAACTGACTAATATACTTCCAATGTTGGCTTTGATAGCCAATCACAAAACAATAAAATGGAGAGAAATTCTGTTCATGGCCCCATGAAAACATTGCAAACGTTTTAACGGTAAGGGATAACTTATACTAGACCATCATATCACCCCACACATCTTTTAGCTGAAGATATTTTTTAATCCGGTTTTGTCTTCCCACCCGGTCAGTTATCTTACCAGGCCTGGTTTCATTGTAGTGGTGCATTGCTCTCTTTCATTAGCTGAATTCCTTCATGTTGACTGTTTGGAAAGTAGATGACATAAGTCTTATGTTAGTAACAATGGACTGTGCTCCTGCCAGTGGCTTCCTGGGGGATACAAAAAGCCAGCATGGACCAGGGCTATTGGCAGCATTTATCACACTAAACGCCCGGGATTAATGACTGGCATAGCTTTAATCAAAAGCAGTCGAGGGTGACTGCTGAATCTGTCTCTCCCTTGATAAATTTGTGGTCAGGAATGTACTCATTGTTCTTTCTCTTCTAGGGAGATCCTGGTTTGGCTGGTCTGACAGGCCTTCCTGGGCCTCTGGGTCGAAAGGTAAGTCTTCTGCTGATATTGGAATTTGAAAATAGCAAAGGTGAGTTATTGGAATTGAAGTTTGTTAGTTAAGTGAGGTATTAGGGTGACTGTGAACATTCAGTGATGGATTATATGTCTTAGCCATGAGATGTTTGATTAATTCATATGGAACGTATAAGGTGAAGTGCTGATTCTCTTCTCTCTCTCAGAAAAGTTAGAGGTTGATAGATAATTGATCGTGTAGAGATTTTCCAGCATCTTAGAAAATGTCTTTAGGTAAAACAAACACTTTATCTCTTGGAAGCATTAGCACTGTTGTTCACACCCACATGGCCTAATTGTCCATAAGATTACTTTTAACTAAACCTAACCTCCCAGTAGATATAAAATACCATTGTGAATCTACAATGTATTCATTAACAAATACACTATTTAAAAAAAAAAATAGAACTACCAGAGGAACACAAATCTTTCCTGTAAGCCTTTTGTAATTCTCTACAAGGCAGGACTGGAAAGAGGAAGGGCAGTACTGATTTGTACTGTGCTGTCAATGAACCATTTGCGCATGCTTTTGAGAGAAGAGAGCAGATTGATGCCCTCATCAGTGTGCTGCTTCTCATTCCTTGTCCAGTCAAAGGCTGTACAAACAGCTAAAGTATTTCAACTTGTATGTAGCTGTATGCCTGAAGATCCATGTTAAAAGAGAAGTATGGGGTAAGTGTTTTTCCCCATAGTTCTCTTAAGGGTCACAGGAGGACATATACTAGCGTCCTCCCGTGACCCAAAGCTCAGAATATCGCGAGCTACAGCCTGCGGTATACTGAGACCAGCACAGCCGGAACGGATCCCGACATTACTGTCGAGATCCACCAGCTGCGTGAGTGACAGCTGGTTCTTCCTATCTAGAGGCAGAGCGGAGTCAGCTGTACCAGCCCCCGTCCGTTCCTCCAGTCAGCGCTGGAGGATCGGAGCGGGGAGGGGGGAATCCCTGCGGGGAGCGTTGTCTGACAGTCACGGCTCTCTGCAGGTAGATGATCGAGAAGTGAGCAAACGGCGGTATATGTTCTCTCACTTCCCGATCTATAGAGACAACGTGTGACAGTTTCATTGTCACACGTCAGCTCGCACTATAAGGCTGAGTGATTTTCACTCACCCTTTTTGCCTTTTATCACTACCCTGAGATGACCCGATAATTACAAGCGGTCCTCACAATTTCAAACATCGTTTGTGAGTTTGTAAACAATTCCTATGAACAAGCTTAATCTATTCTCTGCTAAGGAGCACGGAAAGGATTGAAGTACCACCTGTTTGTTATTGTGACCTTTAGGTGAGTATCTCAGTGGGTCGCAGCAGTCAGGTGGTAGTGCGCAGGTCATAGCTGATTACTGCAGCTGGTTGCTGTTTGCATATCAGGGCTCCAGGAGTGACCTGCCATGCAGGTATCTAAAGGTGTCTGCTAAAAAACTATGAGTTTCTTCACGTGACACTAAACTCAGGAGTTAAACCTTAACAATTATTTCAAATACCCTATTAACAAAAATGTATCTTATTTGTGCATCACTGGGCTGTAGATCTTCAAATCATCTCTGAATTTCTGCGGACACTGTTTTTCCTTCTGGAGGGTGCCTACTTTAGTTCCCCATGGTCCCTGCGTGCGTTGTAAAGTAGCCAGCGCTCCAAGTTAGCTCCCGTGATGGAAACGAAATGTGAAATTGTACTCCATCACTGGAGCGAGCTTGAAGTGGTGACTACTTTACAACACACACAGGGACCATGGGGAACAAAAGTAGCCACCCTTCAGAAGGAAGGACAGTGTCAGCACCAATTCAGAGATGATTTGAGGACCTACAGCCGAGTGATGCACAAATAAGTTACTGCATTCCTAATAGTTGGTAGTAATTTGGGAAACCCCCCACTAAATATTTGTTTCCATTCACAGCACATCTAAATATATTTTTCAAAAATGATCTCTTACCTTTCTAGTTTTTCTTTGGGGCTGATTTATGCATAGGACATGACGGGCAACTTCTATTGCTTTAAATAGATGGCAATGTTGCGATAAATGACAAAGTAAATGACTTTCGTTTGTATGTTTTTTTTTTAACATCCAGGCCTTGAGATCTTAAACCCTTTCTTGGGACAGATAGTCCTGCACATCTAGTTTACAACTGATAATGAAATCTGCCATCACAGTAGAGACAAGGTTAACTATGGCAAACATAACTCCCCAGCCCTCACCTTTACATTACATAGCAAGGGAGAACGAAGTAGGATTTTCATCAGGACAAGTTATCTAACCTAAAGCTTGCTATTCACTGAGCAAATTTTGGACAATTCTTGTACCAGCCACAATTTGCTCCATGGGTGGCCCTGTCAGCATCCACCCACAACACATCCTTCAATAATAATAAATAATTACTCCCAATTTCCGTTATATGTTCTCTTGCATAGTTTCTGCCCACTTTGAGCTTTGTCGGTGTTTCCAGTTAATGAAGACTACTGTTTTCAGAGAGACCCTGTAAAATATTAGGATTAGTAAGGCATAACTAGGAAGCAGAGTCTGCATGTACAAACATGACTGCCCATGTTTGCATATAGAATTACAAACACATTGGGGGTATTTTATCAAAACTGGAGCAGACAAAATCTGGAGCAGCTGTGCACTGCAACCAATCAGCTTCTCTCTTCAGTTTGTTTTGTTAAGATTTGAAAATAAGAGAGAAGCTGATTGGTTGCCATTCACAGCTGCTCCAGATTTTGACTGCTCCAATTTTGATAAGGCCCTCTGTGTTTTTACGTAGGAATAAAATGACTGTAAGAGGAATAGTGTACTTTATATAGGTTAACTTTAAAAATACATCTTTATTGCGTATTAATGCAATATTCCACTTTTTCTTTAAGGGACAAAAGGGTTATCCTGGACCCCAAGGTCATCCTGGTGAACCGGTAAGATAATCTGACCCCTCCAAAAACAAAAAGTTACATATTTATTGTCTGTGTGCTTTTTGACATTTGCCAAGAATTATCTGAGAATGAATGAAGTTACTACACAGTTTATTAGCAGTTGAGGTATGCAAATATCCCTCTGCTTATTGCAGTATAGGAGGTTACTCTATACATAATTCATTGACAAATCAGCAACTATGTGAAATAAGCCATTTTATTGTAACTGTACACAGAGAGCAGGTGTCTGAGACACATCCGGGGGCCTGCGTGTGCTTTCCTTTCTAACCCTAATCTCCATCTGTCTATTCTTCTGTCCCTCATCTTCATTCCATCCCTTGTCTCACTCTGCCTGACCTTCTCCGCCTCTTGCTTTCTGCTTCAGTCTTCATCTCACACTATCCTCACTATTTCTCGCTCTGTTTCTGTCCTCCCTTTATTTTATTATTACCTTGTCCTCTACATCACCTTTCTTTCTCTCCCTCTCTGCCTTCTTTCATTCTTCCCTGTTTCTCTCTATTTTCCCTTTCAGTACTCTCTCTTCTGCCTCCTTTTCCGTCCTCCCTCATTTTCTTTTGGTCTACCATCTTTATGTGTATCTTCCCTTTTCCTCTTTGTATCTTCCCTTTTCTTTCTCCATCTTCCCTTATCCTTTCTCTTTCTCTCTATCTCTCATATATCTCTCTCTCATATCTATCTCGTCTCTCTTTCATCTCTCTCTCTCTCTCTCTCATATATCTCTCTCTCTCATATATCTCTCGTCTCTTTCATATGTCTCTCTCGTCTCTCTCTCTCTCTCTCTCATATAACTCTCTCTCTTGTCTCTCCCTCTCGTCTCTCTCATCTCTCTCTCTCTCTCTCTCTCTCTCATATATATATCTCTCTCATCTCTCTCGTATATCTCATCTCTCTCGTATATCTCTCTCTCATCTCTCGCTCTCTCTCATATCTCTCTCTCTCTCTCATTCTCTCTCTCTCATCTCTCTCTCTATATCGCTCTCTCTCTCTCTCTCTCTCTCTCTCTCTCTCTCTCTCTCTCTCGACCATTGACTCCTGAAAGCGTTTTGGCAGAGAGTGACTGCTTCAAACCACTCCATGTGTTATAGATAAAGATTTTGCTGACACCTTAAGGAACGCATGTGATTTCAGCATTTGTTTAGGGTGACAGATAGAGATCTTGTTTGTTTGTCTATGCCTTCAGTGTTCTCCCTTTTCACTCCCTCTCTCCCCATCCTTTTCTCTCCCCATCCTTTTCTCTCCCCATCCTTTTCTCTTTGTTTAGGGTGACAGATAGAGATCTTGTTTGTTTGTCTATGCCTTCAGTGTTCTCCCTTTTCACTCCCTCTCTCCCCATCCTTTTCTCTCCCCATCCTTTTCTCTCCCCATCCTTTTCTCTCCCCATCCTTTTCTCTCCCCATCCTTTTCTCTCCCCATCCCTTTCTCTCTCCATTCTTCTCCCTTTTCCTGCCTCTCTCTCTCTCTCTTCCCCTCTCTCTTTATCTCTTACTTTATTTGCCTCCCCCTATTTTTGTCTCTCTCCCTCTCTCCATCTTTTTCTCTCCCCATTCTTCTTAGTTTTTCTCTTCACTCTTTTCCCTCCCCTCCGCTCTTTTTTTTTTTGCCTCTCCTCATCTTTTTCTTTCTCCTCTTCCCCCTTTCCTCTTTCTCTTTTATCCCTCTCTCCATCTTTTTCTTTCTCTCTCTCTATTCTTTCCCCTTTCCCTCTTCTCCCTCACTCTCCCCATCTTTTTCTGTCTTCATTTTTCTCCCTCTCTCTTGCTCCTTCACTTTCTGTATCTCGCTCTCCCCTATTATTAAAGCTGCTTCTTCATTTGCAGGAGTCTTTCTGGCCTGTCTCTGGAGTCCTCTGAAAATGACAGCCAGAAATACTTTCACATTTATACAAAATAAATGTGTGTTTTAACATGACGTTAGTGGAAATCGCTAGCTCCCAATTTTTGTGCCTAATCCGCATATTAACCCCTACATTCCTACCAACCATTGACAGGATTAATGTTCACACTATAACCTTCTTGTTTCTCGACCTTCCTCCCCCCTTCCTGCATGTTTGGATAAGTTGGTCTGCCCAGGGATGGAAATGAATAGTAAGGTTGTTTAAAGAGAGACCATTGACTCCTGAAAGCATTTTGGCAGAGAGTGACTGCTTCAAACCACTCCATGTGTTATAGATAAAGATTTCGCTGACACCTTAAAGGAACGCATGTGATTTCAGCATTTGTTTAGGGCGACAGATAGAGATCTTGTTTCATCCCGTCTTGAGTCGGATATTTGAATTTGTTGCTAGCTGTAGCTATGTGGGCACTGGAAGCAGGAGTAAGGATGTAATGCAGTGCCTCTTCTTCTCTTGCAGGGAGAGCGTGGACCGGATGGAAGCCCAGGGGCCAAAGGTTATCCTGGCAGGCAGGTGCAGTAAATCTTACCATGCTGCCGTGCAGGTTATAAATCTGTGCAGGGGGTTTGGTGGCTAGACAGCACCTTGCACACCTGAGAGTTTGCATTTATGCATTACTGTTTGTACTAAATAAAAGGCCCTTTATTATAAACCTCCAGGTAATTCAAACAGAGAAGCTATGCAATATATACATCACATTTCCAATTATTTCCCCAACTGAGTGACTTTTTAAAGAGTTGGAAAGCAGAAATGACACATTCTTTTCTATAAAAGAAGATTTAAAAGACCATTAATGCTAAAGCAAAAAAAAAATGATAGAAAAGAGCCGTTCAAAGAAATCACAAATATATATCTAAAGGACATAGTAGAAATGAGATATTTGATATTTTCTCTTTTTTTTTCTGGTGACTCTGCCTGCCCTGCTTTAACACAGTACTCCAACCAAAACTCTAAAAGTGCACTCACCTCCCCTTCCCCCCTTCCCCTTAGCTAATGTGTGGGGTACCACTATGCAACGTATAAATGGGCCAGACCCAATCTCACATCTTTATGGTGCAGCTGACAAAGAGTCTTGCCTGAGAGTGTTTATTTATTTATTTTCACTTCCCTACTTTGTCTTTGAGCACCTGTTTGTCAGCTAATCTAGCAATTCTTACCCTATGTGTAAGTGTGCTACATGAATAGTATGCAAGTTTCATTTTAGGTGTTGCCACAATATAGCTTGTCATAATACAAGGATTTTTATTGGGTGTGCAATTGATGCTTTATGCCATCAGTTTTCCACTTAGCAGGGATAGCTATCCAGCTACTAAATTGTATGTTTCTATTCTCTCTTGCTATGTATTTAAAGCATTACTCTTTGCTAATGCAAAGCAAAGAAATGGAAAAACGTATCTAATAGTGCATGTACAGCCTCTTGATGTATCCACAATGGCCGTAGTTAATGAATTATATGTACAACTCAAGAGTCTGTGTCAGCACAAAAGAACAAGACATGAACTATTACATATTGTGGCAGTGTAAGCCAATGCCACGGTGTAGGATGGCGACTTTGGCACCCAGGACTCTCAGCCAGAGGGGCTGAGAGGGTCCAGAATGTGAAACACGTTATAAGGAAGAACCTGGCTTTTCAGGTCTGTCCAGGTTTTCCTATTTGTAGCTGGGATCTGGAGCTCTGGAGATTTCGTAGAGCTCTGGGTGGGATGAGATCTCCAGTCCTGGGGCCAGGTTTTGCCATTGACCAGCCTGGGCTAATCAGGTGGCTGAGAGCAGCCTTATCAGGAAGCCAGCTCAGTGCTCAGAGGAGTGTTGGAGTTGTGTGGGTGCAGGAAGCACAAAGCCACAGCAGACTCAGGTGCGTGTGGGACACGTGGAACAGCCAGGGAAGACTGGGATTTGGGTGCCAAAGTCGCCATCCTACACCGTGGCATTGGCTTACACTGCCACAATACAAAGTAAAAATAAAATAAAAATCTTTATATAAATGATACTACTTCTACCATCTAGGTTGCCTACTGCCTCCTTTGCTCTTTTTTTATTTCATTGAAACCTCTGCTTTCCACACTGCACTATTATAATAATGATATACTGGGATTGTACATAAGACACCCAGATCACAACGTGGCCGCCTTCACAGACTGTGTGTGTGTGTGTGTCCGTCCGGCCTTGGGATATATCCCTTCCAGTACTCTTGCAAGAATTTTGTATATATGGTCAACTTTCAGACTTTAATTCCACAAAATCAGAAATTCTTAACACAGGACTCCCTCATTGTAGGACCTCCCATCTCCAAACACAGTTCCCATTTACCTGGAAGTTAAAAACCATAAGATATGTAGACCTTGACCTAACACCTCACCACTCTGACCTTTTATAACAAAATATTTAGATCCTGTACACTCAGGGAGTGAGGGATTTATGCAGATGAGACAACCCTTTTTTTTTCTGGTACAGACATATTGGAATAATAAAGCTCATTATATTAATCGATATCTTCTTTATGTGCCAAATGTTACCATGTCGCTCCCCTCAAGTATCCTGAAATCGCTGAACCTGAAACTTATTGACCTTATCTGGTTTTATAAGAAACCCAACGTTTTAAATACCAACCAGAACTAAACCTAATGGAAGCATGGGCTTTCCAGATGTACTTTGGGTTCACAAGTCACACATATTTGACCTCCACTACTGCTCCCACCACTATAATGACACTTAAAGGAGAACTATGGGGTTAGGGCTTTTCCCCATAGTTCTCCTTAGGGTAATGGGAGGACACAAACTAGCGTCCTCCCGTCACCCTAAGTTCAGTATACCGCGAGCTACAGCTCGCGGTATACTGAGACACTGCAGCTGAAGCGGATCCCGACAATTATGTCTGGATCCGACCAGCTGCGTGAGTGACAGCTGGCTCTGCCTATCTAGAGGCAGAGCCAGCTGTACGCGCCCCCTCCCCTGTCCGTTCCGCCAGTTAGCGCTGGAGGATCGGGGAGGGGGGAATCCAGGTCACCTAGAACTATGAGGTGAGTGAACAGCACTCACCTCATAGTTCTCTTTTAAGGTATGGGGCTGACTGTAAGGAGTGGGCCTGACAATGGGCAGAAAAATTCCCCCTGATTCCAAAAACATCCAAACCCTAATTTCTGTGGGGCCTAGATGAGAGACCTTTACAGCATGGGACACCAGAAGGCATCCTGTGACTACATCATGTAACCAAAGACAAAAAGGTCCTTGACCTCTCCAAATTAGGAAAGAGGACATTTCTGGTGTCATCCACCTCTGGACTTCTAAAGATGGCTCCAATTGAGTAATATCACTAAAAGCCACTGCTTAATTTACTTTCTCTCAAGCTGATGGTAAATATATTCTTGCCAACCCCTCAGCCCTCCAATGGCATCTCATTGCTGTTTAAGCTGCTACTTCAGGTGACTTATGTTAATCCACCAGAATACTTGGTCCATTGGGAACAGTTCAAAATTGTTATTTTATAAGCTCTCTGCAGAACACTGCTCCAAAATTCTTCTCTTGACCCACTCTTCGTACATCCACACTAATATCTCAGATAGTAATTTTAAGCTCCTTGCCTTAAGGTACAGAGACCCAGTATGACTAAATAGATGGAACTCTCAGACCTTTTCCTTATGCCAGAGGTGTGGACGGCACCCTTTGCCTTAACTGGTGGCACTGTTCACTTTGCATGCTTGCAAATTAAGGAAATCTGTTATACCCCCACCTCCTAAATTTTGAGTGCGATCCTAAATATTGGCGAACCCGTGTACCACCCCCTGCGGCTGAATGACTTGCCTGTTCGAACATGTTGCTTGCCATATATGTAAGAACTGTAGTAAAGTACAACACTACTTCCATATATTTCATTGTAAAACCACACTGTTTTAGATATGAAGATGTTCTTTTCCCTGCATGGTTAAAACATTAATAATACCTTAATTTAGAAAAAAAAAATGACTTTTTTTCCAAACTCAGAAAAATGTTTTGGCTTGAATTAAGCTTTAGTTACAAAGCTGCTTGGTATTCTCCAGGGCTTCGAAAAGCAATAAACTAAACTACTGAAACCAAAAAGCTGTTCTACACAGGCAGTTGTCACTACTGCAAGACTAATAATTACTACCTTTATCTCTCTTAATCTACTGTGGAGATAAATTATTGTATAGCTTTAGACATTGCTTGCTAGACTTTGTAGAAGTCCAAGAAGGAAGATTCATTAGTCATGCAGACTTTTATACAAGTGATCATTCCATAAATGCTGAAGACCTCATCTGTCAAAATCCTTTGTTTGCAAAATACATGCACCAGATGTTGTTTGACTATTAAAAGAAGAATAAAGGTAAATTGCTTATCCAAGAGAAAAATTATTATTATTATTTTTCTTAGGCATGCTAACAACTGGCACAAAATCCCACATTTCTTAAAACCGCTGTCTTCTGTCTATAGATGACCTGACCTGCGCTAATAGAACCTGGTACACGAAAAGCCAGGACGGCAGTCATTTGATTATTGCATCACTGAATCATTATCACAGGCCTTGGTTTAAGTGTCTTTAGCTTATCTTCTTCACAAATAATGTGATGGATTGTGGGAGAGAAGCAATGGCATGACTAAATTAGCCCTAGCACCTTAGCTGTAATTGTGTCTCTGGTGGCCACTTTTACAAGTTCCAGTCATGAAAATTAAGAAGTGTCTTAAAGCTGAACTTCAACCATATATAAAAAACAACAATTAATGCAGTTATATATTCATTTGAAAAATCATAAAATGTATTTCTAAAACCAGCTAACATTAGTACTGCAATTTGTTTTAATAGCTGACTGTTGTAATTCCCATCAGCACTCAGACTGAAAGAGCGAGGGCCAACAGAGAAAAATCTGTGCTGACAGTTAACATGCCGATAGGAGGAGAAAGCAGAGTGTTCGGCTGTTCATTCTTTGTTCAGTCAGCAGGCTGGGCATGTATTCTTGACCAAATTTTGCTTTTGCTCCAGTGGAGGTCAAGGACCTAGCTGTGCTCTGTGGTAGGGGTGCTTGGATCACTAGACTTAAACTGAAAATAATGTGGCAGGATAAACTTTTCCAAAGCAGAATATATGAAATGCCCAGTGTCCCCAGATCATCCAAAAGGCTCATGCACTAGTCAGTGCACATCGAGCAATGAGCCCATACCCCTGCATGGGGCTGTGTAATTGTTTTTCACTTCCAAAGATAATAGAAAATTGTCCAGAGTTTATACTCCATTTGAATTTGTTGATAATCTCTTTTGTATGTAATTATAAGCATACAAACTATTTTCAACCAGCTTTCAGTCACAGAAACAACCAAACAGATCCATGAAAATCACCTTGAGTAGTTATAGTTGTTTCCTCAACTGTTGGTGGTAATTTACTTAAAACAACCACTTAAAATGTTCCATGTATATAGCCAGCTTTGCCTTGACCGTATATTTGGTGCATCTGGAGGTGTCTGTCCCTGTAGGGGAAAAGCTGTTTACTCTTTATTCAAGTACGGCAAGTAAAGCCTTGCAATATAAGGATATATACTGCAACAACATATCTAAAAGATAGTACATTGTACAAAATATGCTCAGCAGATGTACTATTTAATGTGCACCATACCAGGCAGATCACGTCTGCTTCTTGTTCATTTCATTGCATTCACTTCCACTACTGACAAACTAATGCCAACTGATTGGCTAATCATCAATTTAATCTATATAACCAGGAGCCCAGACAAGCTTGCTATCATTCACACTGTCTCTTTGCCAGAACCTCATATGTCATTCTTGGCCTGACTGATAGTTTCTGTTTTAAAGAAAGCAATTTTACATTGAGGAACTATAACTGGGCACTCTTGTCCTTGTCTGGCAGTATGATAAAAAAAAAACTCTTTGTATTGTTTTCCTGTTTTTTCCCTGTCTCTCGCTTGCTTGAAACATCTTGTACATTGTTACTTATTAATTGCATCATTATTTTGTCTACTTTTTCAAATTATCAAAAACAAATTGCAGATTTCAGATAATCAATTTAAAGTTTATCTATTAGACACCATTAAGGTAACCATATCCAGACATTGATTGTCAGCATTATTCTCTTCTGGATGGTTCTGAATGGAAGGAGGTGGCACCATACAGTGTCATTGTCTGGGGTTGCACACTTACCACAGTGCACTTGTGAGAAGCCTATTCAATCTAGCTGCAGGAGACTATTTAAAGCATATCTAAAGCCCAAACCTTTTTTTAGTTGTGGACAGAGTAAGGGATAGTTTAAACCCCTGGCAAGTGTTTTTTTTCCCTATCTATATTAGAAGTGCACACAAAATGAAAATTTCAAAACCGAAAAGAAAAAAATTTCAGGTTGAAACCGAAAATGTTTTTTATTCTAACTTTTTCAATTTGTAAAAAATATTTTATTTATTTTTTATACACTTTTTAATTTTTTAATTTTATTTTTATAAAATATTTTTATTTTTTACTTTTAGGGGCTTTGGGGAAATATTAGGGGTCTAAACAGACCCCTGATATACCCCTTTAAAATAGAAAGAGATTGAGGACAGATAATCCTCAATCTCTTTTTCTGCATCACCAGTTATAAATGAACAGGAATCTTCTATACTGAGTGTTCCTGTTCATTCATAACTTGTGGAGATAGTGTGTTTACTATAACCACAATCATGAATGAACAGGAGGTGATGTAGATCACTTCCCATTCATTCATAATTGAGGACACAGTAAACATACTATGTCCTCATGATCGCTGAGTGTTTGTACTCGCTCTCCTTCCTGATACGCTGTCACAGGAGGCTCAGCCTCCTGTGACGGCGTTGGCTGTCTCCGCTCACACTGCTCTCCCAATCTGTGACAGGAGGCTGAGCGGTGCGGGGAGGAGAGACGACGGCTGCTCACAGTGCTCTCCTCCTGCAGCGCTCGGCCGCCTGTGACATATTTTCTCTCCTCCCCGCTGGGACACAGAGCAATGCCCAGCGGGGAGGAGAGAAAGAACGGATGCACCACTATATTGCCCAAAAAATGGCACTTTTGGCATTCTGCCAAAAGTGCAATTTTCGGCTGATATGTTTCGGCGGCTGATTTATCAGTGCATCCCTAATCTATATTTCATTGGGGGAATTTCCCTTTACTTTGCGTCTCGAAGTAACAAAAATTATTTGAGAGGAAATCTCTCTAATATCCTCTGGGATATAAAGGAAATCTGCTGTTTGAGATTGGAAGATTTATCCTCTATTCCTGTTCTGGTGACAACCCATGTTATTCCTCATCATAGATGTATCAGGAAGTCAGTGACGGACCTAAGGCAAGGGAAAATATGTATTCCCAAAATGATGACTGTTGTCACCAGGAAAGGTGTCCTCATTGGCAGATCTGCCCTATATTTTCCTCTGGTGATACTGACAGTAACACACTTCCTGCTGGTGATACTGACAGTAACACACTTCCTGTCCAAGGGTGACATGATCACACGCTGTACTTTATCTATGGAGAAGCAGCATGGACAAACACCTCCCCATCTCATTATCTGCATTACACAAAGGAAAGCTGCTTTGTAGTTTAAGAAGATAGCTGAGAAAAATGATAACATTATTGGGGGTTTCAGCTCAGTGCACAGGAAGTTACAAGCATACTGGATTTTTTGACAAGATCATTAGGTATATTTCTGCACTTGCAGAAAATGTTCCTAACCTGAAGAAAATAAAACTAATGCAGCCACCACATCTAAGGATTGGTAATCTGTAATATATTACATTTTTGTTCTTGACTTAAGATATACTTTGTTACTTTCCAAGAATTATGTCACTAGCATCTAGCAAATGTATTTTTTTTAATTACTCCAATTGTCTTCTGTCATCGTTTGTGAAGGACAGGTAAACATTTTAGTAGAAACATCTACAAATATTCTATGTTTGTTGTAAAAAAAAAAATGCATTATTGTCATTTATGTCACTCAGAACATAAAATGTCTTACCATGTAGCGTGTCTATGTGACAGCTCTGAATATGTATCCCTTTTTTTTTTTATCTGTCTTGTCTTCAGGGATTACCGGGACCAGTAGGAGCTTTGGGACTGAAGGGAACTCGGGTTAGTGTCATTCCATAATTTACAGCCCGATGTTTGAGATTTTCTCTTGTAGCAGAGACCACTTAAGGATTCTGGGATACCCACTGGAGTATCAAGTACACCACTGATGTCTATTACATTAGGAGTTTTAGCTTAATTAAAATGTATTTGTTGTTTATCATTTTGTAGAATAAATTAGAACTTGGTTAAACTGTATTTGTAGTTCATAATGGTTCGGTCATAACTTGCAGATTATTTGGTCAGTCTTTTTTTTATACTTTATCAGCACAGAAAAGCAGAGCTGAATTCCCAGTGTCTAACAGGAAATGATGTCGCAGCCCAGATCGCGGTTTCAGGTCGTGACCTACAGAGCAGATAATCATAGCTCTACTTGTAAGATGAATAAGAGCAAAGCAAGAATTATTCTGGCAGTGGTTGTATTGTTGCTGTTTCTGTTTTATCACATCATTTCATGGTTGCAAAATATAGTATGGAAGATCTGAGTGGTAACAGGACCAGAAAGCTAGAGAATATCAATTGCCTTATTGCATCTTATCTGTGAAATAAGCCCTTGGCATTTCAAATATGACTATTTAAAGCTGAACTCCAGGAAACCAGCTAATACACAGGGAAAATAACATGTATGAGAGAGATTTTACCTGACAAATGATTTGTATTTCTTTCCTTCAAGTCCTGAGGTTAATAAAGGTTTATAAAGCCCTGTCACACAGCACAGCCAGCATGGTGACCAAACTTTTCTCCTCTGCAGTTGTTATACATCTAGGTCTTGTCTCTTCTGCCCTCAGCCCAGGGGTAAACAAATTATTATTGAGTTCAGGAGCCAGTCTGCCCAACCCAGGAGCAAGCTAGATTGTTTGAAGAGCGAGCTCAATTTACAACAACTAGAGAACCTTAAAAGTTAGGCACCAGCTGTAATTTTTACCGCCTAGGATTTGTCCAGCCCTGCCTCAGCCTGTAATTGGATGGTGAAGAAGAAGACTGATAAGCTTATCTCTCTGTCACTCAGCTCCCTGCTTCTGTCAGCTTGGCCACCTGCAACATAGTTGATTGGCCCCTAGTGCTGCCCCTCCCACTCTTAGTCCGAGTTGGTTGCAGGAGGCCACGTATGAGTTCATAGCAGTAAAAATATCAGAAAACCTACCTATAGGTGTCATTGAAGTTCAGCTGCCTTTATATTCTATTGATGATTTGTTATCATGCTGGTAATAACTTGATGTCTGCAAAGTCTGGTGATTTTCAACTCATGTTCATAATGTATTGCATAGGATTTAGTACCCTATGATGTGGGTCCTTGAACTTTGCTTTGAATTGTGAGTCAATTACATATTTTGTTGCTGTGGTATTCTGGACAGTAAATTTTCTAATCATCAACTAGATGAAGCTCACTCCAGATCCATGAATGCTTAGAATGTTCTCTAATTTGGGTGTGCAGTCTGATCTTATAAAGAGTCAGTTGGGCCAAAGCAAGACTTTGAGTAGTCAGTCCTAAATGATTATAATGTGTTGGCTAACCTATGAAACATTTGGTTGGACACAGCAACCTGGCTGTGTAAATTGCAGGAATGCCTAGACCTAAATGCAAATCCCTTTGCAGGTAAATAGCTCTCATTTATGTATTTTAACTTAGTCTTTAGCTGTAGGCCTCATTTAGAATCTATTGTGGAGTCAATTCTACATAGGTACACTTACATAAGCCAAATGACAGCAGAACCATTTTCCTCTTTTATAGACCACAGAAAGTAAATGCTTTTGTATGAGCTTATTTGGTTTACTACCTTGCTTTCTATTAGGGTTCCCCAGTCTTGCTGCCTGATCCCAGCTGCTTACAATATCTATATTCAGAGTAAACACAATTCTGTAATCTGTGGGCAGTAATTGCGCTCACAGTCCATGGCTAGAAGTTCAGAAACAGTTTACATTACTGAACATTAACCCAAGAACACATCTTGAATCCATATGCAAATGAGATGTCTAGGATTTTTCTTTTTTATCATCTGTGCTTGGTGTGCCTTGAAGGCCATTTAAAAAGACCGTTCTAATAGTGTTTGCAGTATTACTCTTATTAATTCACTTTAATGAATTACCGTGGCTACTTTTGGTTATAGAGAAAGGCTTCTGTTTCCACGTACATGGGGTCAGAGGGTATCAGGGCAATTTGTGACATCTTACATGCTTTGTGTCATAGTTAGAGCAGGACTTTGGCTTATTAGGGATTCAGGTTTTCTTTTTCTGCTCACCCCAGTGGACTATGGGAAGAGTACAAATTGTGAATGGCCTGGGTAACTCGGGCTCCTTGATTAAAGCTGGCATGTACTCTTAGAATTTTGTTCAAATATACGTTCAAAATTGTTCATCAGGCCAGTCGAACTTACCATTATTGAGTCAACTAGTTTAGTTGGAAAGCTATTATATCTTTCAACCAGGCCTGCAACTTGAATGAAATCCCAGAGTAACTAAACAGGATTCTTTTGTGCCTAGCACATGTGCATTACAATGTTTACTTATATTTTTCCTGAATGAAAATCACATTCATGGTTGGAATATCGTTCATTTACATAAGAAACAAGAAAAAAAAGAAATTCCATCCTGTTTCTTCAATTTTTCTTGTCACTGCGGTCAAAAACAAACAATGATCAGACCCCACTAACAATTTGAATAACATTCTACAGCTGTATGGCCAGCATAAGTTCTTCCATTTTAGATGCTTTTTTTTTTTAATTTGGATCCACCTTTTCTCCTGAGAGCTCACTAAGGCACAAAGGATTTTTGCCAATTGTTTTCACAGAATATATGGAATTTTATTGAAGTTTAAGTAAAGTTTTGCGGGCATTACATTTTAATCCTATTGATTCACTGATGAATTCAAATGGAACCATCTTTTAACTCTGATTCTCACCATTTCAGCTGGGCTACTGCAGCCACAAACATGTAAACAAAGAGTTCTATGATGCTTAATTTGCATGAACACCATTTCTCAGCTTCTGAGTTGCATTCATGTAAACTCCTTACCGCTAAGCTCCGCCTCTTTATTTCAGCAAGGCATAGTTGGTACATCTAGTTCCACCTTCACTTCACACAAATGGAAAGGGTATATGTGGCTGTTTATGCACAACCGCCACTTTTGCATTATAAACCAGTGCCAGAATGTAGGCTTTAAAATGTAATAATTTATTATTTTTGCCAGTAAGTGCCTAAGTCTGTGGTGATTGAGAAAATGCCAGGCGTCTGTAGCTTCAGTCCTGGCATTATACTGATACTCCTTGTAGCATAACTACTGTCTATCGAGGTTGCTGTAACGCGTTTGACGGAAACCTGTACTGAAGGAAATATGGAGGCTTCCCCTACTTAATTCTTTCTGAAAATGTGAGTTGTCAGGATGTCTCTGACATAAATACATTTGTAGTCACAGACCCCTAACAAGCATGCAGCCAGTAAACTCAACACCCCTGATATGCATACTTGTGCTGGGTTGACTTTGAACTGTTTAAAGTCAGAAGATCAACATCACAGCCAGACATTAGGATGGCGGCGCACTGAGCTCCAGATACACAGGGAATTGGGTATCAATTGGGCCCTTGGGATAGTCAGTTTATGTGGGGTTAAATAAAGAAACTGTAAAGCAATGGATAACAGTCCAGATGTGATTCTTTTTTTCATCTCAATGAAAAGGTTATTTAACAGAGTAGCAGCCAACGTGTTTCGGAGGTTGGGCAGAAATCCCCCATTATCACAGCCATAGGGTCCCTGCACCAGAATGAATTCAAAGCCTAAAAAAAAGGGTTTTTTTAATACAAATTCCCAAACATGTTGGCTGCTTTTCTTTTAAAGAAACTGAGTGTGAAATAACAGGAATAAGACTAGGAGGCTCTTTCACAGTATTTTCAGACTTCCTGTGCAGAAGTAGCTTTTTAAAATGATGTGGCAGAGCAGAGCTCTTACAGCATAGAGGAGACTTGATGCACACATACAGGTAGATGGGAGAAAAGGTTACACAAGTTCTAGGATTACATTACGTGTGGGGCACGGTATGTGGTCTATGAATTGGTTCGTGTGTGATTTCCTTGTAGATTTTTTTTAGCATGCCATCCTCTGTTAACTCATGCCAGGTCTAAAAGAGGTTAAACTGAACATTGTGCTTCTTTTCAATCATTGATTTGGAACATATTACCAAATGCAGTAGCCTTCTAATCTCATCTTCCGATACTCCCAGCTTTTTTCTGTGGATGGCTTGAAAGCTGCAGATCTGCATGGCTAACTTTGCTCTTTCTACATGATGAAGTAGCTGCAACATCAAGAAATCACAAACAGCCTTTAAATATTCAAGTACACAATCAATCTGGAAAATAAAGTGGGGACCTGGCGACTTTCATATCTGTAGCCTGATACTGTTTAGCCGCCGTTATCTGATTTTTCTGGGCTCGTTCTGCTTTTCTGGGTGGTAACACAGATAAATGTGCTAATTATGAACAGTTGAAAACCTTTTTTTTTCATACTTCTTTCTTGTTGTTTGTCTAACAGAATATTAGGTTTGGTTTATAAATACCAGTGCAAAAATAAAATGTGCTGTTGCCAATGGCAGCCAATTAAATGATTTCGGTATCTTTATTCCTTTGTAAAAACATTGGTTGCCATGGACAACAATCATTTTCTTCTGGTCTAATTATATAAACCAGCCATATTGTTCAATTCATTGTTATTAACCCCTAACTAGAATTTGTTACAGCAGGTTCATGCTTTTTTGGGCCACACACCACCTACGTAGAATGCCACAGCCCCTGATGTGACACCCTGACTTCCTCCTGCATAGACTGCAACAGTCCCTGGTGTGAGGGTATGTGCCCTTGGACTACATCGTGGAAGCCAGCACCATGCAGTCCATGGGCATATACACTTGCCTCAAGGTTTATCTCATCACGGAGAATCTCAGACCAGCGCTGGAGGAGACATGGCTGTACCAAGAGCTTGACACCACCCAGACGGGTAGGAAAGGTTGGGGCTTGAGTTGAATCTCATGTGTATTTATTTTTCTTTTCCTTTCAGGGCTATATTGGCCCTCCGGGATTGTTTGGCCTGCCTGGAGCCGATGGAGAACGAGTGAGTATTTGTTCTTCTCAATACTAACAAAAGTACATTTTCAAGTCTATTTGAGAAAAGATGTATAAAAAACTGCAATGTGGAGTGACTTATAGCAACCGGAGTTCATATTTAATTACTGTAGTGACATCAGTGAATGAGGGCTTGAAGTTATTTTTTGGATTGTCAAAGTAAACGTCGTACGAGAAGAGGCTAGATAGTTGGTATTTGCGGAGGAACTTCCATGGGGTCTGACAGCGCTCTGAAATGGCGTACAGTTTACATTTCCAGAGGGTTAAAAAGAAGTTGGAGTCTTTCTATAGGTTGCCCATTACACTTCTCACCTAGCCTGCAAAAAAAGAAAAAAGTTACCTTAATATTCTGTCTAACAGGATATTGGGTTTGGTTTATAAATACCAGTGCAAAAAAAAAAAAAATGTGCTGTTGCCAAAGGCAGCCAATTAAATTATTTATGCATCTTTTATTCCTTTGTAAAAACATTGGTTGCCATGGACAACAATCATTTTCTTCTGGTCTAATTATACAAACCAGCCATATTGTTCCAAATTCATTGCTATTAACCACTAACTAGAATTTGTTACAGCAGGTTTGTGCTTTTTTGGGCCATACACCACCTACGTAGAATGCCACAGCCCCTGATGTGACACCCTGGGTTTCCCATTACACTTCCCCAGCCTGTATAACAATTTGCGTTAAAAACAGAGGTTTTAGTTGCACAAATTTTGCAAAATATGTGGAATCTGCACTGCCTCATCAAAATGCTAAAGATTGAATTTCTCATAGACTAGAGTTAGAACTACACTATACAGAGGAGGCTTAACAAGGCAGTGCGTCTTCCACATTTTTTGCAACATCTTTTGCTAAAACCTCTGTTTTTAATGCAAATTATTAGATAGTGTCATTTGTTTTTGCAGGCTAGCTGGCAGATGTTTGTACTGTGGAAAGACCTTCCATGTGCACCTTACTTTAAAAGCTAGTTATAAATTGATTTGTTCGATTGCCATTTTTGTTTTGCAGTCTACCTAAGAAGTACTTTATTGCAGCTTGCCTTTCAAGTCATTTTAACTTGATGCAATGCCATACATTTTTGGTGTGAACCCAGCCTATGTATATCTTCCTAGCAGGGAAATAGGCAGCAACAAGAAACCAATAGGAGTACAAGTTCTTTCTCACGCCACCTTAAAAACATTGTGCGCTCCACTTTGGCGCAATGTCAGCAGCACAGGTTTACTTATCATATTTCACAGAACCATAGGATGGATAAAAATTGGTTCTAGTGTAGAATAGAAAATTAATTATGCTTTATGCTTTTTTATGTCTGCTTGGAATGAGCAGGGTTTTGTCACTGACCTTCTATCCTGTGGGTTTTGTTCCTATCACAGGTATATTAACTAGGGTTGCACAGATACCAAGTACAGTACTCGGTACGAGTACATGTACCGATACTTTTGAGCTCCAAGACTACACTAGAGAAAAATTCAAAAATTAGGAGGCAGCTGTCATTTGTAAGGAGCACACGGAGCTCCTGGGGTTTGTACATCTATGTTTTTAATGTACGGTTTTGTTTTTATAAATATAAATAAAGGGATGCACCAATACCAGTTTTGCAAGTACGAGTACTGGTACTTGCCGAGTACTTCCAAGTACGAGTACTGAATCATTTTTGTTTATTGTCATGTGACAGTTTTTCTAAACAATACAGACTAATGATTTCAGGACAGTGGTGGAGCGCCAGAGCCAGGTCCCAGCTGCAACCGCGACAACCCTGGTAGTCCTCGTAAAAATGGCAAGTATCGGCACTGGTACTCGAAAAGTATCTGTGCATCCCTAGTCTAACTAACTTGGGCAATTGGATTTGCTTTAGGAAGTTGAACCTGGACCCTGGTCGTGGGATAAAACAGGTTGGCAGCAACACAGAGAGAACTGTACTTCTGTCTGTGTGCCTCCCTCTGGAGTACTTTTAATTCACCCTTTACCTTGTGCACTGGGGCCAGGCAGTTATTCAGTTAATTATCTAAGAGTTAACAACACCACTGAAGCATGTGGCACATCTTGTCTCAGCAGTGTCACTGTCACCTCATCAGTTTCTTGGAAGGTCTGGCTCAGTCACTGCAATGGTAATACTCTTTCGATGTGTTATTACTACAGTTGCAACTGTTCATGTAACACAAGGACACATCAGAAAAGTGGCATAAATTGGAACTATATTACAATGGCACTCCTGAAAGTTTTAATGTATTCCATTCACTGGTATTTGTAGTGTCCTGAATCTCCACTTGTAATAGTGTAGCTATACCTCTCAGGGACTACTTAACTTTTGCCTATTTAGTTGTATTTTCGCCCTGTGCAAAGGGTCAGACAGAAGGTCAGGCTGTAAAGCTGCCTGAGCTCAGTACCTAAAAAAAACCACTGTTAAATGACAGCTATAGGGCTCATGTAGACGTGTGTTATTTTATTGCATTTGAAGATAAAGTTGAATGCAAGTTGCAGAGTTACAATTCTAACAGTGAAGTGTGGATGACCATTCTGAGGCTGCTTTTGACTTGGTTTGCTGTGCACTGTGTTTTCTTGGACATAACAGGTCTTTTTATTTCAGATGAAATGTGTATGTGTAATGCCATGTGCGTTGTGCTGTGGCTGTATGTGTAATGCTCTGTGCGTTGTGCTGTGGCTGTATGTGTAATGTCCTGTGCGTTGTGCTGTGGCTGTATGTGTGTTGTGCTGTGTGCGCGTTGTGCCCTGTGTGTGTTTGTTTGTGTTATGAAGAGCAACTGGTGGCGAGTAACTTCGAAGGCCTGGCTAGTAGCTCAGGACCTGAAATTTTGAGCCCTGTTCTAGATATCAATTTGACTTGCAAGAAAAGCAGTTCAAATGTATCCTTTGCTGCACATTGTGTTTTAAACACACTCATTTGATTAGGGCAGCCTGCAATAAAAAGCTTAAGTGGCAATAAGAACGCCACTCTAAAAGTAAGTACACCCCATGGAAATTGTTTACTTTTTTAAACATTTTGCCAGGCAAACGTTAGATCCCTATTCAAATAAACTGTCTGCGTCCAGGGCTGCCCATCCATCCCTGTATGAATGTAAATGATCGGATATGTGTATAGCCGCGGCGTTTGTTAGCCTGTCATTGATTTGTACAGGCTGCTGCCCATGGCTGTACGCAACACCTGTGACTCCTGGGCGCATAAATACACGCATTCTTCACGCTGTATTGCCCTCTGCAGCCGTGTGAATGAGGCCCTAGCATCAAACAGGACGCTCTGGGGCTGAATTTGCTGGTCCTCATAAAATTAGCAGCTGTTTGAAGTCTACTTGTAGATTATTTTCCTTTCAGTGTACTTAATTTCAAATAATTTGGCAATCTTTTGAAACCCCGTGCCACACTCAGTCATTCCCCACCTTCTTTCTAAATGCCTTAGATAACTATTTTGATCTTGGCTTGTTGACACCACACATGTCATTAGCAAAGAGCGCACCTGATCCTATATTTCCTAGATTTAAGTAAGACTGGTTCCACCGGCTTAATTTCTAAAGGAGGTTCTAATCATTGGACACCTAAAACTAAATTTATGGATTTGAGGTGGTGGTGCACTTTGAGGTGGTTACTTTTTGCACATGACGCCATGACAATTTTGTGTGTCAATTGTTCAAGTAGTCAAGCAAAACAAATGGCAAAAGCACTAATCAATTTGTTACCAGCTTTACAGCAAGGTGCACATGGAAAGGCTTTAAACAGTAATAGCAAAACGTTTCCCAGCACACTCACTAGCCAGCATGCAAAAATACTTGTTTCACTGCTAAGGTTAAAAACAGAGGTTTAGATACACGTCTTCTGCATAAAATGTGAAAGCCGCACTGCCGCACCAAGGCACCTCTATATAGTGCGGGCCTAACTCTAAACTATGATAGTCTCCATCTTGGAGCACATGTGGCAAAAGATCAAATTGGCGCGACTGTGCGGCTTTCACATTTTATGCAGAAGACGTGTATCTAAACCTCTGTTTTTAACCTTAGCAGTGAAACAAGTATTTTTGCATGCTGGCTAGTGAGTGTGCTGGGAAACTTTTTGCTATTGATTGTTCAAGTAGATCACCTTTATTTGTAGGCACTGTTTGAATGAAGATCTATTGTTTGTTTGTTTGTTTTTAATAGGATGAAAATGTCAAAAGCTTCCATTAGGTGTACTTACTTTTTCACATGACTGTGTTTGTATGTAGGGGTCAACCGGTATGGTTTTTTCAGAATAGATACCGATTATGGGCTACCTTTCAGGTCAATAACCGATCAGGTAACAATATTCTGTTTACATCAAGCTGCGGAATCTTGTGCCGGCATCTGAATGTAAACAGCAGGCAGTCGCCTGATATTGGTTGACCCCTACTGATGGCAGTGAAGGGGAGTGAGCCTGATAGACAGCAGACAGTGTATGGGTGCAATAGCCAGCCTGCTATTGGCTATTGCAATTTAAAATAGCCAGTAGTACCCTGGCAATTGCTTCCCCTCTGTCTACTGTTTACATTCAGCTGTGGAGGAGGGACGCATCCAGGAATCTCCTGCTGTTTCTTTTGTATTCGGGCAGAAGCCTGCGGCCGTTGTCAGAATACCCGTACAGCTCATTGGCTGCCAGGCCTTTTAGTTCAAAGATTTTCCGACCGGCTCCTTCGTTCAGCTGATCAAGGGATGCCCGACGAAAGGGTGCTGGCAGCTGCACCCACTGTGCGAATTTAATCTGGTTCCTCAAGAACCGGCCGAAATTCGCACAGTGTATGGCCTGCTTGATTATCATTAATATACTAGGGGTCATTTGACCCATAGTGTGTATAATATATTATCTATCTCCTATATATTTATTATAAAAGAAGAAGCCAAGAAGTCAAAAGAAAAAGCCAGGAAGTCAGAGAGACTCCTGAGCAATAACAGAGTGCACAGTGGGCCTTTTGAGTCGTGGCCGCCATATAGAAGCCAAGAGCCACAAATGTTAACATGGACCAGTTTTCACCAGGATGGGAAAGTGAGGTGAAGTCTCTCCAAAGGAGCCCTAGATAGCAGTAAAAACCCAACTGGGGTTCTAATTCCTTCCCACTGCATGCTGAACTTCTGTAATACATAAATTGGTGCATCACTCACTTTAAATGACTGCTGCAAAAGGCTGATGTTCATGTGTGTAATTACAAACATGCCACATCCTGCCTCCTAACCCATCAAATGTGTAAATAAACAGAAAGGTCCAAGAGAAGAGCGGAACACTGGAGCCTTTAGTAAAGGCGACTCTCCTTGTGTACACAGCCCACAGGTTTTTTTTAGGTCAGTTTGTTCATTAAAGTGTGGATAATTGATAAGCTTTTATGTGTTTTATAGACTTGTTAAATTCAGAAGCTGTTCTGTCCCTATGCTCAGTAGGCGACTGATTTATAGAGCCACTCTATACACCGCGGGAGTATGTGACTTCAAAGGAGTGTTCATTGGGGATAGGATGTCATGGCCCTCTTTAAATAAAGTCCTGTACGCTCAGTAATTATATTGGTTTGTCTGTTTACCCTGTTGCCTACCACATTCATCAAGTGCTGACAGAAGGGTGATCATCTTTGAATGAGCCCGGGAGATTTTTGAGGTTTTCTCTTTTAAGGGATTGTTTACTTTGTTATAATCCAAGGTCAAAAGCAGACTCTTTTTAAATGTTTTATAACTTAGAGCAAATATGTGCAGTACCCCATGGCAACCAATTTAGCCTTAAGCTGTCCATATGCTCTTCGAATTTTGGCTGTCTTGGCTGAAATTTTGGCAGTGTGTAACCCCATTAGTACCCCTCTGGAGCTGGTCCAAAAATGATTGGCTGAACAGTGACTTGCAGCCAGATGAGATGAGAAGCTCTGTCCAGTTGTTATTGCTGTCTACATCCCTGTTGGTGAGATTCTCCCCTTTTTCCTTTGTTGGGGTGACTGTTATCACCAAGACAGAAAATGAAGACAGAAAGTGATGGGAAATTTACCATGCGGTGAGGTGAGGGTAAATGTTTTGGTGACAGTTGTCTATGAGTGAGATTCCTCTCACTTTCTAGAGATTCCCTTTTGCTTCGGGTTGCATCTCCGGGAAAGGACATAAAGGTAAATCTCCTCAGTGGGGCGCCAACAGCAAAACATGAACAGTCAGGGGTATTAACCCTAACAAAGTTGGAATTGATCTTTCATTAAGTGTTGAGTGAACAGTCATATTGGTTGAACATTTTGTTTGAATGCCTTTTTTTCCAATTTTGCCATTAAGTGCTTTGAGGACTGATGAGCCTAAAGTACAACCTACCTTCATGTTAAAGAACTATTAATGCTATTCTACAATTTATTTACAAAACTAAAGCTGGGTACACATCTATTGAATTTTGGCTGAAATAGGACAAATTTCAATCCGTGGGTATCACTATCGCTTTGACAAAAGTCAACCGCTGCAAGCACTGTTTGGTATTCCGACGGCTATCAGAATACTACACTGAGGAGCTTATCTCTGTCACTCTGCTTTCTCCTCCTGTCAGCATGTTTCTTGCACTGCAGCACACATGATTGGCTTCTTGTGCTGCTTCTTCCCCCGTCTCTGCTCTCTTCTGTAAAGGGACTGCAAGAGGATGATACCAGTTCAAATTCAGGTGCTTGCACTGCTTGTATTTAAAAGAATACATATATCAGTATATAATGGATTGGAGAGCTGCATTAATTTGCATTGTTTATATCTGTCTGGATTTCAACTTTAAGAAACACAGTCTGATTCAGGACCCATACCAGCCTGTGATTGGACAATAAAGTATTAGCGACACATTGATGAACTCATCCCTCTGCTCTCCTGTCCTGTAAGCATGTTTACAGACAGCACTGTACAAGACCATAGAGCTCTGATTGACCTCCCCCAGGTTGGTGCAGTGCTGAGGTTTACAGGGGTATGAGCTATCAAGACAGATTCAAGTGCCTATGCTATGTTTATTTTCTAATAATTCCATAACTGGCTTCATTGATATTTGTTACATCTGTCTAGAGTTCCAATGTAAGCATTCTCACCTGTACTTCTGCCTGGAAACATTTATCTGTGTATCTATAATTCTCACTACTCGCTCTTTAATATAAACTAGGGTTGTACATTAGGTTTACTGCTACTTTAATCCGAGTCCTGGCATAATGCGGTATTTTCCATTTATCAGTCATTGAAAAGCTTTAGTTGTTAGTGTTGGTCTTCCTAATCCCTCTCATTAATGCATATTTTCTGTGATGTGGGGCATAATACAGGCTAAGCCTGGTGAAATGATGGCTCTGCCCCTTCCTTCAGCACCTTTTATGTGGAGGTGGAAGTGCGGCCTCCTTTGTGTTTTTCTTTCTAGGCTTCTTCTACATTTGCTCTGCACATAGGCTCCCTTGTCGTCTTGTAACCCAAGCCTTCTGCTTTTGTTTCCACACAGGGTTTGCCTGGAGTTCCCGGGAAGAGGGGCACGATGGGTAGGCCGGTAAAGTTTTTCCTTGTCTACTTTGCAGTCCTAATGTAATGAAACAGGAACCAGAGTCTCCCTACAGCTCTCTGTAATTGTACCGTTTCACTATGTGCAGTAAATTTCCATGTGCCATGGCTTCAACTAAAGTTTCATCTATTCACATTCCCCTAGTAAAAATAATTCCTGGGACATACAGAGCTCCAATATACGTTTAACTATTTTTCAAAGGAAAAAAAGTAGTGAGAAAAATTGAAAGGCTTCTATAGCTGAACTTTCCCTCCGAAAATATGATTGCCTTGCTGAACTCAGCAGTACATACTCACCTTTCACACCTTTACTCTGTTTAGCTGCCAGGAGTATGGATAGATAGCCCTGTGTAAGCTCTAAAAAGCTCTAGTTTTTGCTTACACAGGGCTGCTGTCTCTCTCTCTCCCCGTGTGATAGTTCTGGGTAAATGACCGAGCCCCAGATGAGAAAGGGCAGTGAGTCATATGGTTCTTTATACTTGGATGTGCCAGGTATTTCCCCTGCTTCCACCGGCTGAATGGAGCAGTGGAGTGATAAAGGAAAGGTGAATATGTGCTGCAGGGGAAAGAATACAGTATGCTCTGCTGTGAAGGGGGCCATTAAAGCAAATCTGTTGTTTTCCCCTAAAGAAAACCTCATGAGAGAAAGTCCTACCAAATGTTTTCTCTTTCTAAATATGCTAGTTGCCTTGTCTGTTGCTAGAATACCTTCTGAACCTCTAATCTACCTTAAGTATGCAGCAAGTGAAATCTCATATGTACATATTTATCCCTGGGCACTAAGAATGTATTGAGGCCAAAGGGACAGCATAACAAGGCAACTAACACTATCAGGAGGCCAGCAATGGTAGCTTCCATATTTCTCATGACAGATTTTACCATACGACCAGTATCTTAATAATATTTGTTTGCTGCTTTCTTCATAGGATACAGAGAATGTTTGCTAGTATGCTAAGACTGATTGACGATGTGCAGCCCGCAGATAATCTCAGCACTTCTGGCTAATACCATAGTTACCTGATTGCCAGGTCTCCCAGAACTCAGCCAGTGTGCAGTATAAATTTGCATCAGATTAAACAACATGGGACTTATGTAATAAAAAAAACCAAGGTGCAGCCAGCCAGGTCTCAGATGTCAAATTTGTAGTGTAGATTATACGAAAGCAAGCATATAATTGTTGGCTGTGATCAGTCCATCTACTTTTCATATCATTGACTTGATTTAGAATATCCCTATATATACAATTCGGTCATTTTACCTTTCCAGGTGAATACTATATGTACATGATAATTGATGGTCATGATAATCTGAAAACGTAACTCTTGCTAAGAAAACAGGACTCTGGATCCCCTTCAGGCCGCCAGACACATGGTCTCTGACAGGGAGCATCACTTTCTCAAAGATCCACCAATTGGCTGGATTTGTGAAAACATCAGTGACCATGTGACCAGTGCCAGGGCATTGATTACTTCTTCACCTGCCACAGGGAGTCCACGGTCTTGTTTTCGGAAACCCTCAATTACCATTGACTTGACTGATTTAGGTATAAATCACTTTAGTATACTTATGGCATGTTGATCTAAACCCCATGTGCAGCCTAGGCTTAGGATTCCAGGAGCTTCACAAGGCTACACAGATCAAATTTGAAGACTAACGCAGCGGGCAAAGTGCCTGCTGTTCATTACTGATGTTACCTTAAAATGTTTTAGTCCAGGTCAGGTTCCCTCTAAAGTGACCTATCAAAAAAACATGATCGCCAAGTTCATATACCGAAACTACAACATTCCAAGCAGCCAAAGCCCCTCACACATATCATGCCAGTAGATGACTGCAGGTGTGCTTCACAGTCAGCCAGCAGCAGTCCGAACTAAGATTTCAACTCCAGCCAAAATGTTTCATCTTGTTTTGAATAGAAACAAAATAGAAACGGGAGAATCTCCCTAATGGGGAACACAGAAATAAAAACATGACAGAAATTTCAAATCCCTACAACTCTATCCAAAACTAGAAATTTTTTTTGCTGGACTTAAATCGCTCACATTACTTCGGTACTGTGACGTCAGTTAAACAAATGAGCTACAAATGCATTACGACCTTTCACATCATCATTTTAGGTCAGATGTGCATTGAGATAATTGTTTGTAGCTCACTTGTTTGATTTAGTGGGGTTGCTTTATAAAAAGGAGAAGGACGTTCACTTCTAATGATTGCAAGGGCAACTCTTATTTTGTAAATTGCCCTTCATCTAGATAGGCAGAGCCAGCTGTCACTCCTGCAGCTGGGCGGATAACTGTCGGGATCCGCTTCAGCTGCGGCGTCTCAGTATACCGTGAGCTGTAGCTCGAGGTATACTGAGCTTAGGGTGACGGGAGGACGCTAGTTTGTGTCCTCCCATTACCCTAAGGAGAACTATAGGGGAAAAGCCTTAACCCCATAGTTTTCCTTTAAGGCAACCAATCCCAAGCCATTACCAGGATGTCCCTGGGTACCTTCAGATGGTAATAGTCATCAACGGGGACAGATCTCAAAAAGTTACAACATTTTGTGGTTGATATGCTATAGTTTTGCTGATATTGAAGGCTACTTGGTGCACAGAGTTACGTGCCCGGAGCATTTATGTATATTCGCTCATAGGCTATGAAACAAATACACACCAGTCTAATAGTGTGTCATTGTCTTTCTGCTTTCTAATGTCTAGTTAGTATTAGTGCTTTCAGATGCTTGCTATCATATAATAACCTGCATTGCTATTTGACCGCTGGATTTGTATTGCTATGGTCAACACCTTTATGTTCCAGTTTTTATTCATGAAGCCTAGCGATCTTTCAAGGTGTAAGCAGAGTGCATTTTTCCCAGCATGCATTTGCAAGCCAACAGCTGGGCAGAAAAAGGTTATCTTCTTTTGCTGGAAGAGAATCAAAGCTATTTACTGAAATAATAAATTACCTCTAAAAGCTCTAGTTAAACTGTAGAAGATCCAGTACTCTCATGTTCTTGTGTCTGCATTATCCACATACCATCTGCAAAATAACCAAGCTGAAGCAGAATAGTTCTGAAAAACATCAGAAGGAACTTCTCTTCCTTTAATATTTACATTATTCTTATCATGTTTTGTTTTATGTGGTTGCAAATAATTATGCTCCTTCCTTTTTTTTATTATAGGTAACCAGTTAGAATGACAAATTGAACAATTATTTAGATTGAATATGATATACTTTTTATGTTTACATGGATTCCATTATTTATGCAAAGGTTATTGCTTGGGTGTGCTTGATCTTTATCTTATTTTATTACCAGGCACTCGCAGTCCTCTTGAAGTCTATATTTGCATTTCAATTTTGAATGATTGAATTCTGATTACCACAAAGGGTAGAAATTCACTTTGTGTGCACCAAATGCCTTGGTAACCCAGACATTACCTTGTAAAAGTGACATTGTTACTGTGCGGCACATAGCCTGTGCAAAGAGCAGAGCTGTGTAAGGGACCTAGTTGACCCATTACAGGCTGTTCTGGCAAAACTACAAGGGGGGCAGATAGACTAGTAGCACTGCACAAGGAAAGAGAGTAGCAAACTAGTGTTTATTAGAGAAAACCCCAGCACAGATATGGAAGAAGTACACTAAGGACGCCAGGATTCAAGTAAGAATACACATGGCTCTAATGCTTAGACAATATTTGTTCAGCCCAGATTTCCGCTTTAACATTAACAAAATGTATATTTTGATGTCGATCTTCTCAGGTTAAATCACACTCTAGCTTATTATACAATAGTGTGGTCATATCTAAAGATACACATAAAATGGTAGATTTAATAGGGCAAACATAGAACATGGAACAAGGATAAGGTGTATTATTATATATTTATATTTTAATATAAGGTGTATTATATATAAAGTTCAACTATGCAGGGAATATCTGCCAATACCATAGCATGCCCAGAGATACAATTATTATGGTCGTCTCAGTTGGATGATGTGATATGAAGGGCACCTTGAGAGTTCTGATATTTTTTTGACTCAATTCTGGTGGTACCACACAACCTGCATAGCATAGAGCACCCAGGTAAAAGCTGTCTGTGGGGAATATTTTTCGTACCTTTGGTAAAATAAAAAGTGAATTTTGACTGTAGGAGGATCTTGGGATTACCTAATCGTTATGTATTGAGGATATGGGGCTTTCACTGTAGACATCTTTTAGTAAACATTTAATGAAGAAACATGGGGGAGTCTGAAGCAATATTTATGATTTCTTGTGGAGTTATTTACATCAGGCTACTTAAAGCCAAATTACTTTTAAACCAATATCTGTAACATATCTTAAATGGAATCTGTTAGGATAGACATAGTTACATAGTTGCATAGTATTTGAGGTTGAATAAACACACAGGTCCATCAAGTTCAACCTATTGCGTGTATTTATGTGATTCTGCATGTGTATGCGTGTGTACGAGTCCACGTGTGATCTTGTTTTTAAGAGTACCTGTACCCCTGTATGTTGCGGTCTCTGAGGAAGTTGTCCAAATGTTGAATGATTCAACACTCTCAGCTGATACCACTGCTTGTGGCAGAGAGTTCCAGACCCTAACTTCTCTAACTGAGAAGAAGCTCCTTGTGGTTAAATCTTTTCTCCACCAGTTTTAGGTGGAGGCCTCTAGTCCTTTTATGGAGTTTACAGTAAAAAGTTTATTCCTGATGTTGCTATCACCATTGAACATTGACTGCAACCCCCCTCTGCCAATCCCTCCATTGGCTACCAATCGCCCAAAGGATAACATTCAATATATTAACAACCACTTACAAAGCCATTCACAGCTCTGCCCCTGGCTATATCTCCAACCTTGTCTCAAAGTATCAACCTAACCATCCCCTCCACCTCTTCCAATGACCTCCTGATTTCCAGCTCCCTCATCAACTCCTCCCATGCTCGCCTCCAGAACTTCTCTAGAGCCTCTCCCATTCTTTGGAACTCCTTCCCCCAACCTGTCCGTC